CAATCCCAAAACAACAGTAACAGCCTCCCCCCCTTCCAATAAAAAAACCCCAAAACAAACAACCTCTAAAACAAACAAAAAACCAACAAAAGCAAATAGAAAAACAACTCCGGCCCACCACCAGACACGCACACATCAAATCGACGCTTCGTTTTCTGTCAGCTACTGCTGTCACACAGAGGTTATTTTTAGCACAGCTCATACGAGCCGGACCTGGACTTCCCCGGAAGTATGGACTATTGGGGAGGACGATGCTAGGTTACTGTTTGTAACTACCACACTGTATTTGTGAGGCATTATGGTGAAACGAGGTGCTCGTAAAAAAAGTAAATCGAAGAAACCGATATTTTCTCGCTCAGTTGCCAAATTTATCATTTATTTTGTTTTTTAGCTCAACATCTTTTGTGCTCATTTAAAATCACATTTTTGTGTGGATTTCTCTATATACGTTGATGAAAGGCCAACCTTTTAAAGGGTTAATTTACTGTTTCCAAGGATACTCAAACTTTGGAACTTACCAAATTTTGGGAGCCATTTTCTCGCTAATTTTACTTCTGAAACCAGACTACCCAACCTCTTTCAATCTCAAATATCCCGACTTCTGTTCAATACAGATGGCTATTTTTTTAATCAAATGCAAGACAAATGAACAAACTTTAAGGTGATACCAATAACTCCACCTGCCCATGAATTGACGAGCACCTGATTCCACCACGTCGCAACACACAATTTGTCTGTTTGGCGTGGCTGGAAACGTGTTCTGAATTGTATTGTCTCTCTTTCATAGATAAGGAGAAGAAACTATTGATGTTTGTTGACTTCCGTTGTCATGACTATTTTCCGTAATGTTTATTTTCCTCTCTCAAGCATGCGTGGCGAGAGAACGTTGATAGTTGGCATTTTGTCGTGTCCGTATGTCGTATCTTAGCAACGCAAACCAAAATGGTAGGGGGAAATATCTGGACGACAGAGATCTCCTGTCAAGACAGGCCCAGAAGGAGCAGAAAAAATCCTGTAGTGAATGAGTGAGTGAGTGAGTGTGTGTGTGTGTGTGTGTGTGTGTGTGTGTGTGTGTGTGTGT